AGCAGGGATGGATGGGGAGGAACCGGGAGCTGGCAGGAGAGAGAGACGTGGGACCGGGATAAGGGACATGGCAGAGGAATGTGGGGTGGGGTGGCAGGGAGAGGCAGGGCTGGGATGGTGGGTTTGGGATGGAGACAATCGGGAGCTGTGTGGGGTGCACAGCCAGCTGGGCCAGGGGCATCATGGAATGTGGGCACCCCTTCCAGGGCCATCGTGGAATGTGGGCACCCCTTCAGGGGCATCACTGGAATGTGGGTACTCCTTCCAGGAGCATCATGGAATGTGGGCACTCCTTCCAGGGGCATCACTACAATGTGGGCAGCCCTTCAGGGGCATCACTGCAATGTGGGCACCCCTTCCAGGGGCATCACTGCAATGTGGGCAGCCCTTCAGGGGCATCACTGCAATGTGGGCAGCCCTTCAGTGGCCCCAAGCAGGGGATGAGGCACAGCACCCTGCCATGGAGGCACAGCTTTTGCCATGGAGGCTCTGCCCATCTCCCTGCTTGGCCACTCCACCCCAGGGCTGCTGTCTGGGGTGGCCCAGACACCCCATCCTGCTGTGCCCTGCACTGGCAGCACCCGGTCCCTGCTTTTGCGCATCTGCCCTCCGGTAGCTCCAGGCTCCAGAGAAGGAGGGAACAGGCAGTTTGCCTGCTTGGGGCTGTGGTTGTCCTTCCTTCCTTCCCTCCCCTCCTCCCCTCCTCTTCCTGTGCCGTGGAGGCTGCTTCTCTCCTCCCTTCTTGTTTGGGTGGCAGGTTACATCTGATAGCAGCTGCCCTTCCCCAATTGCTGGCCTGGCCCTGGGCCATGGAGGGGTAGGAGAAAGGCTGTGCCCCTTTTGTAACTCTCTCATTGCTGCCCTGGGTTGGAAGTGCTGTGTCTGCTCCTGCCACAGGGCAGGTAACACAGAGCAGTGTTTGCTGGCAGTGCCTCTCGCTCTGGGCTCAGCTGGGCTTGCCCTGGTGCTGCTGCCACTCCACCGGGCCAGCAATGCCACACAGCCCCTCTGACCTCTCTTCTTTCCACTCCCACAGGGCCCGGCCGTGTCAGATGGAGGTAAGGCTGCTCTCTGCCCTGGGACAGGAGCCCAGCATCACCTTCAGGGGAGGGGGAAGCCCACAGGCAGGGGGTGCCAGGGGCAGGGAGCCAGCAGGCAGCGAGGTCCTGTGTCAGCACATGGGAGGGTGCAGGACTGAGCCCTCTGCCCAGCACTGGCCACGTCCCCCCATCCCTCCCACACGGCTCCGGGTGCCTGTCCCTCCCTCTGGATGCTCAGCTGGCACTTTGGGGTGCAGGGGGCTGAGTGGCTTCCTGGGGCAAGGAGAAGCTGGGTACCAGCCAGCTCCAGGTTCTCTGAGGGAATCTGTCTGTCTGTCAGTCTGAGTGTGCACTGGATATCTCAGATGGTTTATTTAGCTGTATTGGCCCCATTTATTCGTGGTTTAGCCCACCAGGAGGATAAGTACAGGGGGTCTGGCAAAGGAGCAGCCTGACACACCTCCCCTATTCCTGCCAGCTTTGCCAGGACAGCACTGCTTCCATAGCCTCACCTTCTCTTGCAAATGACCCCCTGCTTCAGCTGCACACCAGTCAAACCAGTTCCAAAGCTGGGCTTGCCCCTGGGAACTTCCATCTTGGTGAACACATGGTCACCCTGGGTTTCCCCAAAGTGGGGTTTCCTGAGGGTTGGGAGCTGGAAATGACATTTTCTGTGCCCTCCACATGCTGGGACTGTCCCTCATCTTGGCCAGAGGAGTAGAGGAAGTGGGCTCAGGCACCTCTGCCCATCTTCCAAGCTTCCCTCTACTCTGTGTGCCCTCTGTGTCCCCTTCCACTCTGCTTTCCCCTTGGCTGTCTTACCCCAGGAGATGAGTCATGGGTGGAGTCACAGTGACACCCAGGGTGGGCACAACTGCCAGCCCTGGCAGGGAGAGCTGTCATGCCAGGAAGTGCCAGCTGTGTCATCCTGGTGCTCAATCCTCCAAGGATGCCACGGTGATGCTCCTCATGTTCCCTACCCAGCACCCACCAGGTCTGATGCAGATGGGGCACGTGGAGGCTGCTGGTGCTGGGGGGTGACACTGGGAGAGAGCCAGAAGTGACACTTTTTCTCTTTTAGAGTTGAATGCCTCCCGGGCCCGTGGCAGCAACCACAGTGTGAACAGCCTGCCAGGGCCACCAGCCTCATGTGGATCCACCCAGGGCTCTGTGGTCAGCTGGGCTGAGTCCTTCGAGACACTGCTGCAGGACCGTGTGGCTGTCACCTACTTCACTGTGAGTGTCACAGCCCAGAGCTCAGCCCCTGCCCCATCCACCCTGGGACACTGACTGTCCCACAGGCACAGTGCCACCAGGCCAGCAGCTCTCTCTGCCCTGCAGGAGTTCCTCAAGAAGGAGTTCAGTGCTGAAAACGTCTACTTTTGGCAGGCATGTGAGCGCTTCCAGCAGATCCCAGCCAGTGACACGCAGCAGGTACCAGCTCTGGGCAGCTTTGCTCACAGCTGCTGGGAGGGATGTGGGCAGAGCTGTCCAGGGGTCCTGGCAGACCCCTCTTCTGGGGGGCTGAACAGGCTGGGGGCTCTTGCAGAAGGAATAAGAAGATGGATGTGATGTGCATCTGAAAAGCCACAGCTGGGCCTGCCTGCCCCACAGAGCAGGATGTGCTTCCCCTGCCAGAGGGTGGAGAGTGTTTCTGGGGAGACAAACGAGACCAAGGGCAGAGCTAGACAGGGGATCATGGGGACAGAGCCAGGTGGCTGCAGGGGATGGTTCCTCCCTCAAGTGTCTCCTCTGTGGAGACACTGCTGTGTTATGCCCAGAGCTCGGTCCTGAGGTGCAGATACTGAGCTGGTCCTGGGGCAGTTTGGTTCTTCAGGGCTCAGGTGTCTGTGAGGAGTGAGCAGGGGGCTGCCCTGGTGTGGTGTAGAGGAGGGGGTTGCTGGTCCCAGCCCGGCCTCCTGTCCCCCCAGCTGGCTCAGGAGGCACGGCGCATCTACGATGAGTTCCTCTCCAGCCACTCGGTCAGTCCTGTGAACATTGACAAGCAGGCCTGGATTGGGGAGGACATGCTGGCCACCCCCTCCCCAGACATGTTTCGCATCCAGCAACTCCAGGTGAGGCAGCGCCTCAGGATGGGGCTGTGGGACCACCCCACACGTCACCCAGCATCACTGCTGGCACCGTGGGGCTGTGCCATGGGGCAGTGCCTGGAGCCTGGAGCTGTGCAGGGCTCTGAAGCACACACATCCTCCCTTTCCAGATCTTCAACCTGATGAAGTTTGACAGCTACACACGTTTTGTGAAATCCCCCCTGTACCAGGCCTGCCTGCGGGCAGAGAGCCAGGGCCAGCCCCTGCCTGACCTGCGGCCCCACTCCCGCAGCAGCAGCCCCCCTCCTGACCTCAGCAAGGTGAGTCGGGGGCAAAGGGCAATAGGGACACGTCCCCGTGGTACTGGGTCCCTTCCCTGCTGCTCAGCCCCAGGCTGGGCGCAGACAAGCAGCCAGGGCACCAGGGAAAGGGAAGGGGGAGCCTCAGGTGTTGCCATGCTGAGATGCTGCTCAATTCACCCCAGAAGACGAAGCTGAAGCTGGGCAAGTCGCTGCCCCTGGGCGTGGAGACGGCGGGCAGCAGTGCCAGCCGCAGCCTGCAGCGCTCCTTCAGGAAGGGAGAGCGGCGGGAGCCCTCCTGGGCAGGTGGGTGCTCTGCTCAGCAGGACAGAGGGGCCTCAGGGGTGTTCACGTCCCCACCACCGTCCCTCTGTCTGTCCTAGAGGGGGGAGAAGGCAGCAGGAGCGCCATGCTGTGGAGGGAGTCCCAGGGCTCACTCAACTCCTCAGCCAGCCTGGACCTCGGCTTCTTGTCCTCGGCCAGCACAGCCACCAGCCCCTGCACGGAGGTGAGTGGGCACCACGGCACTGCCAGGGCACCACGCTGCCTCTGGCCGGGCTCATCCTGCCACATCCCTCCCTCAGGGCCAGCAGAAGACCCTGGGGGGCAGCGAGGCAGAACTGCCAGGCAAGCCCATGAAGTACTGCTGTGTGTACCTGCCCGATGGCACGGCCTCGCTGGCCTCTGTCCGGCCCGGCCACTCCATCCGGGACATGCTGGCCGGGCTGTGTGAGAAACGCGGCTTCAGCCTGCCCGACATCAAGGTGTTCCTGGTGGGCAATGAGCAGGTAGGGCCGGCAGGGGGGAGCAGGGTTTGTGCCAGCCAAGCCATCCCTGTGCCGGGACAACTGTGCTGGCTCTCTCCCGATGGTTTGTGTCCTGCAGAAGGCGTTGGTGCTGGACCAGGAGTGCTCCGTGCTGGCAGACCAGGAGGTGAAGCTGGAGAACAGGATAAGCTTTGAGTGAGTGGGAGCTGTGACCGTGTTCACAGGGGTCTTAGGATGAGGGAAGAGATGAGGATCTGACTCCATGTTTCAGAAGGCTTGATTTATTATTTTATTATATATATTACATTAAAACTATACTAAAAGAATAGAAGAAAGGATTTTATCAGAAGGCTAGCTATGAATAGAAAAAGAAAGAATGATTACAAAGGCTTGTGGCTTGGACTCTTTGTTCGAGCCAGCTGACTGTGGTTAGCTATTAATTAAAAACAACTAACATGGGCTAATCAAAGATCTACTTGTTGCATTCCACAGCAGCAGATAACCATTGTTTACATTTTGTTCTTGAAGCCTCTCATCTTCTCAGGAGGAAAAATCCTAAAGAAAGAAAGGATTTTTCATAAAAGATGTCTGTGACAGGGAGCTTTGAGGCTGATGCTGTTGGCCATGCACAGTGCCTCAAACCCAGTCCCTCAGGCAGTCCCGAGTGCCCTGGCTCTGCTCCTGCCTGCAGCCACCTCTTGTCCCCCTCTGCAGCCTGGAAATCTCCTCCCTCAACAAGACCATCCGCATCACAGCCAAGTCAACCAAGCGCATCCGGGAGGCGCTGCAGCCCGTGCTGGGCAAGTACGGCGTGAGCGTGGAGCAGGCGCTGCTGCGCAGGGTGAGGAGCCTGGGGGCACGGCCAGCCCCCTGCTTGGGGGGAACCCTGCGTTTGGGGTCAGGCCAGGGGCTGCTGGCTCTCAGCAGGCAGTGGGGAGCAGCGCTGTGTGCCTGTGGGCTCCTATAATCACTGTTTTGGGATGGGCTGTGACATCCTGCTGTGTGCTGGGAGGGACCAGGGGGTCTTTCCTGACCAGACGGGTCCTCAGCCTGGCTGCCTTTCCGTGCCACAGTGAGTGTGACACTGAGTGCTGTTCCTGTTGCAGCAAGGTGAGCCAGCCACCCTGGACTTGGAGAAGCTGGTCAGCACAGTGTCTGCTCAGAAACTTGTCTTGGAAACACCAGCAGGTAAAGTGCCCTCCCTCCCAAGCCATGTCCCCTCAAGCCACATCACCCTGAAGGGCTCTCAGAGGGTCAGGCTGTTTTCTGCTGGCCATGGGACAGGGTCCATCCTGTCCCTGCCTGGCCAGCACCAGGATGCTGGAATGGGGCCCTGAGCATCCCTTCCCTTGCAGACGTGCGAGTGATGGGGAGCGCTGAGGCTGCGGCTGCCTCCTCTCTGCTCCGGAGTGAGGTGAGCATCAAATCCCACCAGCTCTGGTCAGAGATGCCCTCTCAGCTGCTGTCATGCTCCACAGGGAAGCTGGGCCCTGCTGTGGCCCCAGCACTTGCCATGGGGCTGGGCAGTGGTGCCAGGGCAGGGGCCAGGCTGTGGGAGGGTGATGGGCACACAGCCCAGGGCAGTGCTGCCTCCTTGCCTGTGGCTGAGGCCTGGGCTGCTCATTGCAGGAGGGGAGCCCAACAGGAGCAGAGCCTGACACACGATGGGAGATGCCCTCCTCCTTCTCCAGGCCACAGTCTTCAGCTGCCATGAACCTCAATCGTCGCACATACGACCTGGAAGGTGAGAGCTGGCGTGTCTGAATGCTGAGGGGCTGGGGCAAAGCACAGGCTGAGGGATGCAGAGCCCCTCATGGTGTGGTGGGGATGGCTGCAGGGTCCCACTGAGCTGGGAATGGGCTGTGGGGTCTTGGGGTCTGGCATGCAGTGGGGAGAAGGTGCCAGTGCTGTGCCTGGGACACGTTCAGGGTCATATCAGGTGGAGAGGGCAGCTGAGGTGCTGGGACAAAGCCCCAGTGCCTGGCTCAGGTGCATGATCTGCATTTCCCCAGGGCTGGTGGAGCTGCTGAACCGTGCCCAGAGCTGCCGGGCCAACGACCAGCGTGGGCTGCTCTCTAAGGAGGACCTGGTCCTGCCCGACTTCCTCCAGCTCCCCGTGCAGGACAGCAGCGCCTGTGAGGGCTCACAGCAGCCCAGTGCCCCTCAGGCTGGCTCTGAGGGAAGCAGCTGCCCTCAGGAAGAGCCTGCTCTGGCTGAGCCTTCGTTGGACCACAAGCTCTGATGAGTGCTGCTGCACGTCCACACCCGGCGTGTGGCACCCCCATGGCCATGCCAGGGTTCAAGCGGGGTCCGACAGCCTCTGCCCTGCACCGCTGACACTGCCCAGACTGCAGATCCATCCACGTCCTGTCCCACGCTGTCACGTTGTGTCCTGTGAGTGGCTGAGCAGCTGCCATGCCCCTCTGTGGGGCCACATCCCGGTGCACACCAAGGGACTCTTGTACATAGTCTGAACCCTCGTTGCAAAGCACTTTGCAACATCCCTGGCACTGCCCTGCCCAGTGCCCCTGCCCTGCCCAGCACATCCTGCCTGTGTCGCACAGCCCCGCTCGCTCTCTGGGTGGGGAAAGCTCCCTTCCAGCTGCAGGGTGCGCAGGATGGACAGGCTGGGTGGGGAGGAAAGGCAGGCTCCAGTCCTGAGCTGCAGTGCTGTGGGCAGGCAGGGTCAGCAGAACTTGTGCCCCGAGCTCAGAGCCAGATCCAGCCCTGGCCCCGTGGGAATGGGGCTGCCCCGTTGTTGATTTGCAAGTCCACCCTTGCTGGGCAGGGTGAGCGTGGCCCTGCCAGGCTGTGCTCCGGGCAGGCTGTTACGTCTGCATTGCGTGAGCGTGGCCTGATCCTGCCACAGCAGCACTGCTTGGAGCAGGGCACATGGTTCCTGCCTCGGGCAGCCAGAGGCAGAGCCAGCAGATGGTGCCAAAAAAGCCTTCCTCCTCCTCCTCCTCCTCCTCCTCCTCCTCCTCCTCCTCCTCCCCGTCGGAGATCCTGTGTGGGCGGCTGCTGAGGAACAGGCAGGAGCAAATCCCATCTCCTCTGCCCCATCCCCACTGGGGTGTGGGTGCTCAGCCTGTAGGACAGCCCTGCTTGGTGCCAGCAGAATGCAGCACCCCTGGGTGTGAGCCTGGTGTGCAGGTCCCCAGCGTGTGCCCAGCCTGTCATTCCTGCCAGGAGCCTGGAGCCTCCATCTGCCAGTCCTGGCTGGGCACTGCTGGTCCCCATGCCCAGCAGCCCGGTGTCCCCAGAGGTCCCAGACACAATCTGCAATGGAGATGTTCCCCCAACAGCAGCCAGGAGATCCCTCCATCCTTGCCAGAGTCCCTCCTGGCTGTGCCTTGGGTAACCACTGCACCACCACTGCCTGGCCAGAGGCAGAGGGGTGACCAGGGCCCCCAGGCTTGCCCAGAGATGGGGGCATGGCCACCCAGCCCTATGCTGCCACAGCCAGCTGCAGCCCTGTGGCCTTAGTCAGAGCCCCCCTGTGTCTCTGTGATGCTGCTCAGTTCTGTCTGTGCTGTGGAACCAGGGGAAATAAAGAGCATTGCCTGGATGTACCACTCTGTCCTTCCTCTGCCATCAGGGCTGGATTGTGCTTTTCCCAGCAGCAATGTCCCCTCAACCCTCCTCTCCCCACAGAGCCTTCCCAGGGCCATGGCAGAGCTGGGCCAGCCCTGGGCTCCAGTGCCACCCTGACTGGCAGCGAGGGGCAGTGCCAGGAGCTTGTTTACCCAGCATTGCTGGTGGAGCAGGGGAAGCTGCAGGGCCGGCATGGCCAAGGACTTCAGCCCCAACCCTGTCAATGAGTGACAGCCAGAGCTGCCAGGGCCTCACTGGGTTAATGATTGTGGGGGCAGCTGGCCAAGAGCCCCTGGGCACGGGGCAAGTGCGGACACCAGGGACACCAGCCCAGCACACCGGCTGCACCCCCGGGCAGAAGGGTCCCCAGGCCCTGCGGAGGCAGGACACGTCCCCTGCTGTGCCACCTCCCGGGCATCCAGCTCCATCAGCCTGTGACGCAGTGCAGGTGGCTCAGTGATGCTCCAGCAGTGGCACAGGTGTCCCCAGGCTGTCCCTGAGTGCCCTGCAATACCCAAGGGATCTTTCCTTTCATTTGCACCTGGCTTATCATGGTAATGAGTTCTGGCAGTGCTTCATCCTGGGGAAATGGGGATGTGGCAACTGAGCACCCCTTTGTGCCCACTCCCACAGGCACAGGGCTGGAGGAGCCTTTGGCCACTGTCTGTCCCCTGTGGACATGAGCTTGCTGTGTGTCCTGTGGGTGGATGGAAACTTGGCTGGAGGTGTGTAAGCAGCAGGTAATGATAAACAGGGCTGAGGAGGTGGTGACGGCAGCACTGGCCTCGCTCCTCTCCTGCTCACCCACTGCACACTCTGGGAGATGTGGTGCCAGGGAAGATGTGGTGCCAGGGGGATGAAGGCTCTGCCCCACACAGCCCTCAGCACTGCTGGCTGCCCCACACTGAGCCCAGCTGTGTGCCACCATCACCACCAGTGGCAGAACACGGAGATCAATCACAGTGGTGCTGGCATCAGCCATCTCCAACGCCCTGGGAGTGAGGCCATTGTGCCCTGGGCAGAGCTGATCCCTCATGGCTGATGCTGTGGTGGCACTGAGGTGAACATGGCCTCACCTCTGGTTTGTGACACCCCAGCAGCACCAGCACCAAGCTCTTCTCCTCCTCCTCCTCTCGTGCAGTGGATGAACCACCTGGCACCAAATGATGAAAATCTGAGGCTCCTCCAGCATCACCTCCCAGGCTCTGGGCCCCAGCAGTGCCCGGCTCTGCTCATCCCCACAGCAGCTGAGCTCACCCCGACCCCAAGAGTGCCCGGTACCCCGGGGGCACGTGCCCCATCCTGCCCTGGCTGACCAGGATGTGGTGGGGGTTACCCATTAACTGCAGGAATTTCTGGGGAGGAGGTGAGCAGCCAGCGGAGGCGAGGGGCGACACGGGGCTCCTTAGACTTTGCTCTTGGCCTGTGTATAAAGGGCCGTGGTGCCCCACAGGCCACTTCGCTGGAGGGACGTGTGGATGTGGCATGTGGAAGTGGCACTGCCCTGAGTGCCCGGCCAGCCCCAGGTGAGCTGGGCCCTGGGCAGGAGGAGTCCCCTTCCTGCCTGCCCTGCCTGCCCTGCCTGCCCTTGGGTTGGCACAGCAACAGATGATGGCATGGTGCTCCTCAGCGGTGCCAGCGCTGCAGGGATCTGGGGGGACGTGGCAGCTGGTGCAGCACAGCTGTGGTGACACGCAGCCACCTCTGCTCGGCCTCAGCAGGAGCCATGCTGCCCTACCGGACCGAGAGCCCCGTCCTGCCCGGGCGCTGCCCGGTGCGGGGAGGAAGGGTTGTGCACGGGCCACAGTTTGCCTACTGCCCCAGCCCCCAAGGTAAGTGCCCCCAGCCCTCCTCCTCTTCCTCCTCCTCCTCTTCCTCAGCTGTGCTTCTGGCCAGGCGCTGGCCCAGGCAGTGCTGGGCCCTGCTCTGCAGGGAGATAACTGTGCTGTAACACAGCTGCTGTCTCTCCCCAGCCCTGCACCGGCTGCCGGGTGCCCACGGCTGCCCCTTCACGGTCAGCGCCGTGCCCTGCCCTGAGCACGGCTTCCCCTGCCCTGGCTCCCCCGGGCGCCTGCGCGAGGGCCGCGAGCGCTTCGAGCTGGACGCGCTCCCCTGGCAGGGGCACTGCCTGGGCTTGGACGAGCTGCAGAGGCCAGGTGAGACCCCAGGGGCGTGGGGGTCTCACAGCACCTGGGCTGGGGAACACCCCAGACATCTGACAGAGGCACCTGGGGTGCCAGGACTGTGGGGTGCCAGGCTGGGAGGGGAGTGCTGATGGAGACCCTCAGTGTCCTGGGGGGATGTGGGAAGAGCTGAGGGACAATGGGGCAGCTGGCACAAGGCACCGCAGGGTGGGAGGAGATGGAGGAGACCCTGGGCCGGGTGGCATAGCTGGGTACATGAGCCCTGGGCTGCCAGGAGCCATGAGAGTGGCACAAGGCTGTAGGAGCCATGCCACAGCAGGAGTTTAACACTCTCTCTTGTCTTGCACAGAGCTCGGGTGCTGGGCCAGGGTCCAGTCCTTCTGTGTCTCCCTTCTAAAGGTGCCCCTGATGTTTGGGTTCCTGTACCTCTTCGTGTGCTCTCTGGACGTGCTCAGCTCTGCCTTCCAGCTGGCTGGAGGTAGTAGGGTGGCAGGGATGCCCGGGAACCTGGTGGCACTGGCAGAGCCAGCAGCTTGCACTCACATTCCCTTACAGGTAAGGTGGCGGGGGACATCTTCAAGGACAACGCCATCCTCTCCAATCCAGTGGCTGGGCTGGTGGTGGGCATCTTGGTGACCGTGCTGGTGCAGAGCTCCTCCACCTCCACCTCCATCATCGTCAGCATGGTCTCCTCAGGGTGTGAGTGTGCCCACGAGGCTGCTGGGGACCTGAGGCCGAGGGAGAGGATGGCTGGATTGGGTCACCCTGAGCAGGACCATGCAAGGCTAGCAGGTCTGTCTGACTGTCTGTCCGCAGTGCTGGAGGTGCGCTCTGCCATCCCCATCATCATGGGCTCCAACATCGGCACCTCAGTCACCAACACCATCGTGGCCCTCATGCAGGCTGGCGACCGCAGCGAGTTCGAACGGTGAGAGCTGCATGGCTCAGGGGACACTGCTGGGGCTGGGGGCTGCTCCTCAGGACCACCTCACACCCACGGGCTCCTTCATGCTGCGCAGGGCCTTCGCTGGTGCCACAGTGCATGACTGTTTCAACTGGCTGTCAGTGCTGGTGCTGCTGCCACTGGAGGTGGTCAGTGGGTACCTGCACCACGTCACCCGCCTGGTTGTGGCCACCTTCAACATCCGCAGCGGGAAAGATGCCCCCGACCTGCTGAAGATCATCACAGAGCCCTTCACCAAGCTCATCATCCAGGTCTCCTCAGCTGTTATGTATGCCCCAGGCTGGCGGTGATGTCCCCAGCACTGGTGTCCCTTTGGTGGTGGTTGCATCCCAGTGTCCCCAGGCTGGCAGTGGTGTCCCCTTGCCGGTGAAGATGTCCCCAGCCTGTGGGTGCTGTTAGTCCCCAGGTGGCCTCTCCAACATGTGTATTGTTGCAGCTGGACAAGTCTGTGATCACGGGCATCGCGACAGGGGACGAGAGCCTGCGCAACCGGAGCCTCATCCGCGTCTGGTGTGGCCCTGCAACCCCACAGGTGAGGGGCCCGTGGCCCTGCTGCGGCCACCAAACACTCCCACAGAGGATGGGTGGTGGGCAAGGGCTGGAAGGCACTGGAGCTAGCTGTAGCCCACCTTCTCCCTGCAGATGGCCTCTGTGGGGCTTGGCCCCCCCCCAAACTGCTCATCCCCTGGGCACTGCAGCACTAAGGGCATGGAGGTCCTTCACAACGTCACCAGGAAAAAGTGTGAGTGGGTGTGGAGGGCTTGGGCAGGGCTGGGGCACAGGGCATGGGGCTGGGGAGGTGCAAGTGGGGCTGGGGGTTGTATGTGTGATAGAGAACTATTGGAGAGGGCTGGGAGATGTTGCACTGGGGTCCAGGTGTGGGGCTGTCTGCGGGGGCAGGCTGTGAGCGGGGCCGGGCCAGCCCCAGCCCCTTGTCCAGCCGTGCTGTGGGGCAGGTGAGCACCTCTTCACCGACACACCACTGCCCGACCTGGCCGTGGGGCTGGTGCTGCTGGCCGGGTCCCTTGTCATGCTCTGCACCTGCCTCATCCTCCTGGTCAAACTCCTCAACTCCCTGCTCAAGGGGCAGGTGGCCAAAGCCATCCAGAAGGTCATCAACACTGGTGAGTAGGATGGGGACCACATGTCCCCATGGGTCACCCATGCCCATCTCCACCTGCCATCCTCAGACCTGCCCCTGGCTGCCCCTGGCCCCCAGCCCTGATGTGGCCGTGGCCATGTCCCTGTTTGTGTCCATGCCCTGGCCATGCCCTGGCAGACCTGCCACACCCGCTCAGCTGGCTCACCGGGTACTTCGCCATGGTGGTGGGCGCTGGGATGACCTTCGTGGTGCAGAGCAGCTCTGTCTTCACCTCGGCCATCACACCCCTGATCGGTGAGTCCCAGCCACTCCTCATCCCCTGCCATGTGCCATCCCCTGGCCTGTGGGTGCTAAAGCACTCAGAGGGACAAAAGGAGCTGTGCCTCCTTGGGAGGGCATGGGGATGGCACTGCCAGGAGTGACAGGGTGCCTCTTCCACAGGCCTGGGGGTGATCAGCATTGAGCGTGCCTACCCACTGACCCTGGGCTCAAACATTGGCACCACCACCACTGCCATCCTGGCTGCCCTGGCCAGCCCTGGGGACAAGCTGGCCAGCTCCTTCCAGGTACAGTCAGTCCGGGGCCGTGGCTGGGCTGGATGGGTAGGGCCAGGGCAGGGGCTGGGGATGCCCACATGCCTGGCCTGATGGGGATGCCATCCTTGCAGATTGCTCTGTGCCATTTCTTCTTCAACATCTCGGGCATCCTGCTGTGGTACCCGCTGCCCTTCACCCGCCTGCCCATCCGCATGGCCAAGGCACTGGGCGAGCGCACGGCCAAGTACCGCTGGTTTGCCGTGCTCTACCTCATCATCTGCTTCCTCCTGCTGCCCTCCCTCATCTTCGGCATCTCCATGGCGGGCTGGCGGGCGCTGGTGGGGGTG